GCTGGGAAAAACGAGGAATACGGAATGCGCGCGCCACGTCATTCCGTTTACCGCGTACGCGCGGCAATTAACGTATTATAGCTTGTTTCGAGAAAAACGAGACGCGCCGCGCCACGCCACGCCGCCGGTCTTAACAGCTGGTCCACTCCATCACAATTATTCCGGACAGATGACATTTGATTGATCGAAGTGGGGTGGATAACTGTTTTGACCATTTATGTGCTGTTTTTTGAAAAGCTAGCTGCTACGAGGTCATTCTTCTTACTGTTTCGTCAGCGGTACCGTTGGATTTATTTCTTATTATACATGTAAAGGAAGTACAATAGTTGAGTGTGTTACGTTTCCACAACACACGGGAGCAATACACCCGAAAAGGAGGGTAGGATTTTGTCCGGATCCAGAGGAAATCAAAATTACTTAGATTTTGTATGTTTATTGTGTCACACGACGGCGAGTCCGAGTTGTAAATACGAGGTAGAAGTCTTGACTTGTTCTTGGTCGACTGCGTGGTTAGGATAATTCTACTCTCTTTCTTGGTTGATGGAATTTAGGAGAAGTTGATGAAGGGAGAATTTGGTAGTAGAGAGGGGGAAACATTTGGGATTTGATGATTCATATTGGGGGTTGGAGTGATGGATCTAGACGTCGGACTGTCGGAATGTTTGGGCTTCCTCGGATGTACGAGATATTTACAAAATGAGGTTTAGAAGTGAACACAGTTATAATGCTAACGAAGCATTTGGGTATGAATAATCCTTGTCTTTAGATAGAGGTGACGATGAACACCTTTTCAGATGGACGCAGGCATGGTGTGATGTCAATAATAAAAATAATGATGATGATAATGGTGATGATGATGATGATAATAATAATAATAGTTATTATGAATGTATAGAGTGTTTAGTACACTTAGATGTGACAGAGTGTCTCATTACTTCACTGTATAAAATCCAACTACAGTCTAGATGCGGTTACCAAACGATTACCACTGTGATTCGACTTTCACAATCTATTTCCATAAAAAAATCCAAATTTCTCATCGAAGTACGTTGAATATCAGGCCACTTACAAAACGGACTACTAGCGCATCGACTTAGCGTGGGAATCGAATGCCGTTCTTATCGGATTAGCGTAATATTTGTTAGGTGGTAACGTGGTACTCGCCACGAAGCCGTCAAAGGCGATACACTGCGTGTCTTATTTGTCGCGTGTATGGCAGCGGCCGGCCGCGTTGTCGAGACCGTAACGGATGGCGCGCGTGTGCGCGTGCTTTTAAACGATATCGAACACGTGTAAACGCATCGAGATACCCTGGGCATCCGGTTAACGGGCCGCCTTAAAGGCTGAGCGAGTGAACGCGGGGCTTGCAAGAATCGACGGTGCCACGCGCTCTGCTGATCGGCAGAATCGTTGATCCCATTTGTCCGCGCAAAGCCACCCGCGGTCAATCCAATTAATTTATTGGCTTTCGCCGCTGAGCACCCATGCCCACCTCTCTCTCCGTCTCTTTCTCTTTCGCTGACGCTGTGCTTAACGGCACGAGCTTCCATCGGTGCCCATCGTGGTAGGTAATATGCGCACGAGAAGAGGTGTGATCGACTCCCGATGATCGTTTTCGATTGAATGGTTCTTCTATTACAGCGAAACGGGTTATCTACTATTGTAAAACGATTCTATACTCGAATATAGATAGGACTTCTTGATGGTTTGTTACTGTATAACAACTCAGATGCAATGTTTTTTTCATTCTCTGGAGAGAAAATTGAAATTTCCGAGGTATGAAACGAATGTTTTTCTAGTGGACGTTGTTAATCGGAAGCTGAGAAAAATTAGTTAGCCTGTTTTCATTTTAAACAAGTGTTCCATCTCTTTGTAGTTGGAAGAAGTTTTGCAAATTGTAAATGATTTATAAATTATTAATTGTAAAGTTATTTAACTCTTTGCACTCCGTTGTCGCCGCTGTGATAACATTGTAAATTGATATCTCCGTTTTTAATAAAACGTAACTTTAAAATATATGTGTTTTTTTTAATGACAGAGCAGGATCTTCAATCTTTCGCAGAGACGCACTCACAACATTGTAAACACTCGTGGTCTAGCTGGTAGCTCATAATAAAAATGACTCGGAATTACTAAAAGATCATACTAAAAATGGATCGGAGTGCAAACGGTTAAATTATTCAAAAGTATGACGAAACACACTGTTTCGTACTAAATATAATATTACGTTAGATAACGACTATTACGTATAGATAACAAAATTTCCGTTCCGGAATTGCGATATTTTCTTTGTGTACATTACAGTGTATAAAACATAAAACGATAGAAGTTATCTCTATGTAAAAGAAGGTAAAGTGATATGAAAACACATAATATAACATTCAGC